GCTTCCTCGCCCTGCCGCGCTCCACCCACCCCGCCGCCATCCGCCCGATCGTCGTCCTCGCCCTCCGCCTTCCCCCTCCTCCTCGCCCACCTCCTCGTCGCCCTTCCTCCTCCTCCTCCTCCTCCTCCTCCCTCCTCCTCCTCCTCCTCCTCCTCCTCCTCCTCCTTCCTCCTCTCTCCTCCTCCTCCTCCTCTCCTCCTCCTCCTCCTCTCCTCCCTCCTCCTCCTCCTCCTCCTCCTCCTCCTCCTCCTCCTCCTCCTCCTCCTCCTCCTCCTCCTCCTCCTCACACCCGGTGTCTTGATTTCTGCAAAGCGGGATCACCAGTCCCAACCGATGTTTCTCCCGTCGCGACTTTGTTTCACGACGCGCGCATGTCTGGGAGAACCTAGAGGTACCCAGACCCCTACTCCCTGGAACTCTTCCGGGATGCGTTCTGACCAGGATTTCGAGGCGAATCCAGCGGTGGCCACGAGAAACCTCCAGGAAAGCCGAAGAGGCGAAACCGAGGCAAAGGTAGAGGTATCGGTGCATTGTCCTTCTCTGAATGTCTCGTGCGGGCAATACTTGTATCCATATCCACTGCGTCTTGGAATTTCGGGTTCCTTTCCCCAGAAACCAGCGGCGCAGTGGATTTGGAAAACACCGAAATGTATCTCCAATCAATGCGCCTCGGCCTTCTGGCGCCCCTTCCCAAAAAGTCCAAGACGCAGTCCACCGCTGGATTCGCCTCGAGACTCTGGTCAGAACGCACCCGGGGAGAGGTCCACATCTCTGACGAGATGCTCTGTCCAATCCGGACTAAACTTCGCATGGTGGAGCCGCGCCGCGTCCTAAGGGGAGCGGGTCCTGGACCTGGGGGCCGTCCCCCGGGACCAGCTCTTCATCCCGCGCCGTCTTCTAAAAATCCCGAGGCCCGTGAAGAGCCCCGAAGCCCTGAAAACGTAGAAAAATCTCGGGTTCCGTTTCGCTGAGGACCCGTTTCCCCATAGCGGGAAACCTTGCCGACCCCCAGAGTTCTCGCCCTCTTCCCGGGGACCGTTGTTGTCGATCCTGAACCTTGTTTGGACAATCCCGAGGCCCGCCAAGGGCCCCCGGAAGCCAAAAATTGCGAAGAACTGTCCGTCGCCACTCTTTCATGACTCGAGGGGGTCTGGCGTCTGGGCCATGGCCGTCGCTGCCCTCGTGCATCCGCCGGCGGGGGCGGCGGCGGCGGCGACGACGACGACGACGGCGACGACGATCACGACGACGACGCCGACGACAACGCCGACGACGACTACGACGACGACAACCACGCCGACGCCGACGCCGACGACGCCCCAGCCGTCGTCGCCTTCGTGTATCTAGCGGCGGCGACGACGGCGACGGCGCCGACCACGACAACGACGACGACGACGCCGACGCCGACGACGACGACAACGCCGACGACGCCGACGACGACGACGCCCTGGGCGCACCTCGCTCGCCATCCGACCCCAGGACCATCGCGCGGAGCGCCGATACCCCCGCGCCGAGCGGCGCAGGGGCCCGCGCGAGCTCTGGCCGCTGCCGAAGGTCAACGGGCGAAGAGCGGTATACGGTATACACAGAAGGCGTACCCTCGTCGTCCTCCTCGTCCTCGTCCTCCTCCTCCTCCTCCTCCTCGTCCTGCTCCTCCTCCTCCTCCTCCTCCTCCTCCTCCTCCTCCTCCTCCTCCTTGGCGCGCCGTCGGTCTGGACTCGCCTCCCAGCGCGCCCCCGCTGTCGGGGACGCCTGCACCTGAGATCCTGGCGTTGCAATTTGTTTAGCCACGGGCGTGTTCGCCCCGGTTCGGGCCACAAGGCCCTCACAGATCGATCGGGGTCGACAGATGGCGCACAAGCGTGGTGAACATGTTTTATTCCTGGGGGATAACACATGTTACCCTGGGGGGATGGGGGCTGGGGGGGGGATGCGGGAACAGGGGCCGCGGCGCGCACCCCCCGAGGCGCGCCGCCTACGTCGTAGTCGTCGTCGTCGTCGTCGTCGTCGTCGTCGTCGTCGTCGTCGTCGTCGTCGTCGTCGTCGTCGTGCTCGTCATCGTCGTCGTCGTCGTCCAAGCCCACAATGCCTGTGCACACAACACGGACTCTGTACACCACAATGCGTTTGTGAACCAGAACCGCCACATGTGCGCACCACGGCGACCGTATACACCATGACAACCGTGTGCACCACATCGCCTTCGTACATCACACCGCTTGTGCACACCACGGCGCCTGTGTGCACCGCAGCTGCTGTTTCAGCACCCCCTGTGCACCACAGTTCTTGCGTACACCACAAAGATTGTTCACAGCTGTACCGACGGAGGCAGACTCCAGAAAACCGCTGGGAGCCCGAACGTATCAACTTCAACATGTGAACTGAGTGTGATTATCGGCCGTTCTGGCCCCGGGAATGCTCGGATATTCTGGGCCCACAACGCCTGCGCACGCCATAGCGATTGCACGCGTCATGGCAACTGCGCGCACCACGGCGCCCGTGAACACAACGCGGTTTGGGGGCGCACGGAGCGGCGCCATCTGAGAGAATTCACGCGGGAGAACACACGCGGAACAGCAGCACCAGCAGGCGGAGCAAAAGGAACCCCTGCGACGGGGTCGACAGCTCGGGACCCGTGCCCTTTTCTCCAAGCGCACTGCCAAGATGCACGCCATCACATAACATAGCACAAACTGTTGGTTGCAGCCATGCTGGCAGCAAAACTCGTCTGCATGAAACCGCCCGCATACACCGCAATGCCCGCGTACACCACAGCAACCATCTGCACCGCAGAGTCTGGTACTGTTGAGACCACAATTGCTGTTTCAGACCCCCCCGTGTGCCGGAAAAGAGCCGCCCCCTTCGCGAGCGCTTCCGGGTCGCCAAGCTCTCGCGCCAGATGGCTTTCGCGTGAGACATCCTCAAGTTCTGGGCCCCGGGGCTAGAATTAGGTCGGGCATGTCCCCCTACAGGCGGATTTCGTATGGAAAATCGATAGTATCCAGAAAATATCCCAAACATGTGACAAAATAGTAAAACAAATCGTCCCCCGACATTTTTTTTTAACAGAAATTACCATTTTTCAATATTCCCCGGGCCAGTCAGGGAGTTGGCGCCGGGCCTCGTGGCGACCCCGAGTCCCACCGCACTCAGCAGTAAGCAACTCGTGCCGCCCCGTGTGCGTACTGGTGTAACTGCCTACGGGAGGTTCGTGTCGTGCCGACCCCAGCGTTGGTTTTTGACACCGCAGGGATCGTTCAACCTTGAACGATCGGCCGCTGCCGCAACGTCCGATCGTTCAACATCGATCGATTCTGGGTCGCAGGCGGCGTTCAACCTTGAACACCCGCGCTGGGGTCGCCGCTGGTCGACACGACGCAAACCTACCGTACTTTTTCCGGCCACGGCTAACAACTACTCACAGCATGGCAGGAGCACTTGGGTTGCCATGTGCTGTGTTTGTTCGAAGACAGCTTGCATGCCGCCTACGAAACGAAACGAAACAAAACGATTCCCCCATGTAGAGGGACAGGCCCGACTCAAGGCAAGAAGAACGCTAGTCAGGAGGAAGGCTGGCCCGCGGGGGACGGGTCGAGACGCCCGGGGCCCCCCATGGTCTCGACAGCAGCCCAGGCGCGAGACGCCCTTGCTTTTTTTCGGCACGGGGTCCCCCCCCAAAGTCCCGGCAAGGCCGGTTGTTCATCCCACATCGGTGGACATCGGTAGGCTCGCAGGCATCCACTGAGAAGTCGGAGCCCACATCGGAGTGCAAAGCCGAACCGAATCGGCATCGGAAACCATCGACATCGAATCGAGTCGCATCGGAGGAATCGAAATGAGCCCTGGCCTGGCGCCGCTTGAGCAGGGACCGACCGTCCTGGCATTCCTATAGGCCCACCACGAAATATTCTTAGAACCCACTAATGTTCTAAGAACAAAACCAATGTTCTTAGAACATCAGTCCGATGTGTTATTAAGACAAAATAATACGGGCCAGAAGTGTTCTAAAAACACTTCGTAGAAACAACAACAAGTTCTTAGAACATTGTTTGGTGGGCCTATAGGCACGCCAAGACGCTTCGCCACTGCTTGACCATCCCGAGTGGATGTTGGCGGCCCCGGGGCCCTGCGAGGACCCTCACAGGCCGAGAACGGACAACAGCCTGCCGCCGCGATTTTTGTTTCACGACGCGAGCACTTGGACGTTGCTTACTGGGGGGACGGTAAATGGGGGAGGCGAAGAAACGTGCACCTTCCCAGACCCCCGACGCCATGATTTTATTCATGGAGTCGACCCCTCAAGGTCCCAACCCGTCTCCCATGACCGATTTTTCTTCCTGAGTCGTTATTTGACGGTCCCGAGGCCCAGTGGGGACCCCAGAGGCCGAACATAGCGAAAAACCTCCCTTCGCGATTTTTTCCATGGCGCGAGGGGAGGACATGCTACGCATGGAACAAAAGCCAACGATAAGATGAACGATGAGGATCTGATGCCTCTGTTGATCTTGACCCGATTGTGATGCCCGCTCGTGCCCACGCCGTCCCGCCTTCAGGGTCTTCGCATCCCCTGCGATGGTGGGACGGGACGACGGACGGCTTTTCGGACTCCGCTTCGCTGTGCGATGTGAAGACGGGCTGCTTCTTCGGCTGGTGGGATGGGAAGATTGGAGCACGAAGCCCATCCCTGAGCCTGTTTTTTTGTAGACTCCGGCAAATTTACTTGCACGGACGGGGGGGGGCCTGAACCTGAAGTAAGCCGCAATTGACTGGCACGTGCGGGAACCACGCAAGTCGAAAGGCACTTGCACGCCAGCCTTCGTCTGCGTCTGAAGAGGAGCGAGAACGCCATGCAAGTAACCTTGCCCGAGGCCAAAAAAGAAACAGGCTCCCTGCTGTTGAGGCCTAGGTTTCGCGTTGCTTTTTGGACTCCCGCGCCCGCGCGCCCGCCGCGCCGCCGGTCTCCCAGCGGGCCCGCGGCGGGCGCGGCCGGTGGACGGAGTCGGCGTCGAAGCGCTCCGCGGCGGGGCTCCCGCGCCACTCCGCGGGCAGCCCGGGCCCTCGCCAGCCACCTCGGGTAGCAGCTCGTGAGGGCCTCCCCCCACCATCTTCCCTGAGATACGACGTCGTGATTGTTTCAATTTTGGAGGCCCGGAAATGGGCACCAACACCAAAACAGGGGGTTGCCTCCACAGGGGGAAGATGATCCTAGATTTCGGTGTTGGTGGTAATATTTCGGCCACCTTGAAGCTAAAATATTAGCACCATCACCGAGATCGGGATCGTCTTCCCTCAGTGGAGGCACACCGCCGATCTTGGTGTTGGTGTCAACCTCTAGGCCTGCGACAATACGGGGTCCCCAGAAGTCTCGACCCATCCCCGGGGCCGGTGTTTCATCCTGAGTCGTTTTTTGACAGTCCTGAGGCCCGGCGAGGGCCCCTATGGGGGCCAAACTTTGCGAACAACCTCCGTCTTGATTTGTTCAAGACGTTGGATCCCTGGGTTCCCAGACCCCCTCGGGTCATGAAAACGATCATGGCGGGAAGTGTTTCTGTATTGTCGGCCTCGGGGGGCCCTCGCCGGGCCCAGGGACCGTCCAGAAGCGCCTCAGGACGAAACACAGGCCCCAGGGAGCGCGTCCAGTGTTCTGGGGGTCGCCGTTATGGAAACACCATGGCGTTGGGGGACGCCGACCGGCGCCAGCCGACGCTCATCGACACCAGATCGCAGCCAATCGACGTCAATCGACGCTACATCGGCGCTGCCCCATCGCTTACCAGACGCTGATCGGCGCCAGTTCACTCTCAAGGCTGAAGATGGAGTTTCGACGGGTATAACCGCAATAGGTCTTTAGAACCTCCCAGAACTAATTATCCGTTCGACCCCCTGAATTGACGGACTGCGGTCTGACCAAGTAATAGGGAAGAATGACTTCTCCACGGCACCCGCCGCGCAACAACGACGACGACGACGTCGTACGACTACCAGGAAGCGGAGGAGGAGGAGAAAGAGCAGGGGAAGAATTCATTCTCCGCCGCGAGAAACAACGGGAGTTCCCCAAAACTACAACCTCCCTCGATTACCATCTTGTTGACTCTTGCGGATCGATGCCGACCGACGCCAGCCGACGCTCATCGGCGCCAAAGCGCAGAACATCGGCGCCAATCGACGCTAAACCGGCGCTACCTCGTCGACTACCAGACGCTAGTCGACGCTAATTCACTCTAAAGTCTGAAGACGGAATGTCGAGGGAGTCCTAGGTCGGGCATGTCCTCCTACAAGTGGAGCTTGGACGAAAAATGACAATAGCCAAAACATATTCAAACATGGTCAAAATATTCGAAACCGTCCCCATACCATTTTGACTTTTTTGAATATGTCTCCTGTAGAAGAACACGCCCGACTTGAGGGTGTACAAGGCTCCCGCGATCTGCTACCGACGGCCGCCATTGGGAAGCTGGCTGGGCAGCGGAGGAGGACGAGGACGAGGAGGAGGAGGAGGAGGAGGAGGAGGAGGAGGAGGAGGAGATGGAGAAGGAGGAGGAGGAGGAGGTGCAGGAGGAGGAGGAGGAGGTGCAGGAGGAGGAGGAGGACGAGGAGGAGGAGGAGGACGACGACGACGACGAGGAGAGGGAGGAGGAGGGGAGAGGGACGAGGACGAGGAGGAGGACGAGGAGGAGGACGAGGAGGAGGAGGAGGAGGACGACGACGAGGAGAGGCAGGAGGAGGACCCGCGGAGCCTGGGCGCGGCGCGGCCGCGGCGGAGGACCCGCGGAGCCCCGCCGCGGAGCGGTCCTCGCCGCCGCCGCCGCGGCTGCCGCGCACGGAGGCCGACGACGCCGAGGAGCCTGCAGTGCTCCGTCTGCTGTGCGCGCTGCCTCGCACAAGGCGGCGAGATCTGCACACATCCGCCGCTCTCCTGGCCAGGGACCCTCCCGGGCCCAGGACCTCTGTGAGGCGCCCTCCTGGCTCGGCCGGGGAGGCAGCGTAGAGATGCACAGATCTCGTCGCCCCTGGTTGCAGGCCACGGGAGAAATGGGCGAACACGCATGCCACATTCGTCTGGTAATGCCCCCCCCCCAATCTCCTCATCACGATGCCAATCTTAGGGATTCCCTTATTTTCTGGGGCGAATCCCTAAGGTTGTCATCGCCTTTTGGCGTGTCAATCTTAGGGATAGGGATACGTTCGAGGCTGGTAAGCAGTCTTCCCCGCGCGTGCCAACTTTGAGTTTTTGGGGGAGTGGGGGAGTGTCCACGGATTGTTTCGTTTCCTCCTGCCGCAGCATGGCGGAACCAGGTCCTGAGGGACACGGGTCCTGGACCCTGGGCCCTTCCCCCAGGACGAGCTGTTGTTTCTCATCCTGGTGAGTCTTTCGTCACGAGGGGAAAAACACACACAGACACAATGAATCGTGGATTCCCAGGAACATATGGGGAAATATGGGAAGTGGGGGGGAAGACAAAAACTTGGAAAATATAGAAAAATGTTGGGAATCGTTTTATGTGTGTGTATTTATTTGTGTGTTTGTGGGCCCCTCCAGTTCGGGCCCCCAAGAGCCCGAAGACCGCGGAACACCTCAGGACCTGCTTCCCTCAAGCCCCGCTCCTGGGGAAAGCAAAAGGTACCGACACCGCTAATTACTCCCAGGACCTCTCCCGGGGTGCGCTCTGACTCAACTTTCGAAGCAAATCTCACTGCACCGACCTTGCAGACGTGCTGCAACGGATTTTTGCTTGGATTTCTGCCAATGCAAAACCCCGAACCGGCGAGTGAAAAACGAAATGAATTTCGCATGGGCTTTGTTTAGTCTGCATTCCTGACCGAACCAAAAAAAGCACGAAATTCACATCGAAATCCGGAACGAAATGTTCCAGGGCACTCCGGGCCCATCCTATCGTTTTCCGAACGAACTCCGCTCTGCGATGTTGGCGCCATGACAAATTCAGCGGTGGCGACGAGGGCCTCCCAGGAGGCCCGAAAAGGGGAAAACGAGGCAAGGCAGCGGTACGGGTACACGTCGTTCATTTCTAATCGTGGTCATTTCTAATTGTGCTCGTTTCTAATTGTTTCTGGCCCTCTAGTGGCCAGGAAGAGGCTCAGGATAGAACAATTAGAAATGAAAGGATCTTGGCCCCCAGAAAATCAAAGAACTTTCGAAAATTTAGAAATCAACAATGTGTACCTTTTCCGCCTCGGAGTTTCCCCCATTTGAGCGGGGACTGCCCGTCCTGACCTCCCCATAGGCCGCCTGCCACGGTAGAACCCCCAAATGTCCTAAGAGCAAACACAATCTTCTTAGAGCATGGACCCGATGTATTAAAGCAAAACGGTCTCGGCCAGAAATGTTCTAAGAGGATTTCGTGCAAACCACAAGACAATCTCAGAACCCAGACCCCCGACGTCGTGATTTTCTCATTACGTGCCCCTTCAGAAGGCTGGACCCTTACCGGGCACCGGTTTTTCATCGTGAATCGTTTCCTGACGGTCCCGAGGCCCGGGAAGGGCCCTGCGAGGCCGAAAATAGCGAAAACCCTCCCGCCGTGATTTTTGTCGCAGCGCGAGGGGGTCTGGCAACACTCCCTGGTGGAAGCAAGCCGGGGCGCTTCGCCCCTGCTCGACCCGCGGCGAGGCTGCCGCTCGTTGCGATCACGAGTGCGGGCGACGGCCGCCCGCCGGCCCCCTCGCGGCCTCTGGCCCGCGGGCCTGGCAGGAGAGCCCAGGATCGAATCGATAAGTCGGATCGGCAATCGAAAGGCATCGGATCGAGGGAGTTCGGCAGCCCAGTCGGGAAAAGTCGAATCGGTGGACATCGGTAGGCTCGCAGGCCTCCACTGAGAAGTCGAAGCCCACATCGGAGTGCAAAGCCGAACCGAATCGGCATCGGAAACCATCGACATCGAATCGAATCGCATCGGAGCCATCGAAATGAGCCCTGGCCTGGCGCCGCTTGAGCAGGGACCGACCGTCCGGGCATTCCTATAGGCCTACCACGGTATGTTCTTAGGACCCAAACATTCTCCAAAACAAAAACAATAACATAACCCGATGTGTTAAAACAAGGCAGTCTCGGCCAGACATGATCTAAGAACATTTCGTGCCGACCACACAAGGTTCTTAGAACATTCGTTGGTAGGCCTATAGGCGAGCTGGGACGCTCAGCCACAGCGAAATCGGAGCCCACATCGGAATGCGCAGTCGAACCGAATCGGCATCGGAAGCCGTCGACATCGAACAATCGAGTCGCATCGGAAGAGTCCCCTGCTTTGACCTCTGGCGAAAGAGGCCCTCAAGCGAACACGACACAATTGGCCCAGCCCAGGGACGCCTGGCCAAACAACTCTCACCATACCAGCGCTTGAGGGGAGGAGGAGGAGGAGGAGGAGGAGGAGGAGGAGGAGGAGGAGAGGAGGAGGAGGAGGAGGAGGAGGAGGAGGAGGAGGAGGAGGAGAGGAGGGAGGAGGAGGAGGAGGAGGGAGGAGGAGGAGGAGAGGAGGAGGAGGAGGAGGAGGAGGAGGAGGAGGAGGAGGAGGAGGAGGAGGAGAGGAGGAGGAGGAGGAGGAGGAGGAGGGAGGGAGGAGGAGGAGGATCGAGATGAGCCCTGGCCTGGCGCCGCCACGCCCTCGCCTGCTCCCGCGGCGCGCGGCTCCCCGGGGGGGTCGCCCGCGCAGGACGAGGTCGGCGTGCTCCCGAGGCCGGGGCTCGGCGGGCGCTGGCGGGCACGCCGCTCCAGCTGCTCGAGCTCCTGCCCAGACCCCACACAAATAAATAAGCACACGCAAAAAATAGACAAATGCACATATAAACACATACACGCAAATAAGTACACATGAATAAATGCACACACACACACACACCAATTGATACATATACACATACATGCAAACAAATGCACACACATGCACAACTATACACACATAAAAAGAACAAGTACATGCAAACGTAAATACATAAGAAAGAGACCCATGGACACACACACACAAACACACGCACAAATAAAGACACACAAAGCCCAGAATCCCCCACATCTTCGCATGTTTTCAGGGTTCCCCACCACTTCCCAAGTTTTCCTGTGTTTTCCTGGGGATCGACGATGAGATGTGTCTATGTGTTTTTGTTTCCCCTCCCGATCCTTCCAAGACCCCCTCGCGCCGTCAAAACAAAAACTAGGGTCAGGTCGGTCAGGTCCTCCTACAGGCGGATTTTGGAAGACAAGCAAAAATAGTGAAACAAAATAATCGAACAGAGCCCCCAAAAAGCCTGGCGAAGGACCCAACCGTATATTCAGCTGTGAGTGCCGTAACTGGGTGTGTCGTCTTCGGTAAAGCCCCCGATACCGCGACGAAGCATATGAGAGATGAGCAGAAGTGGGGGTGCAACTGCATGAGAATCCTGCTATTGGGCCTTCGGTGAAGCCCCTTTATGGGGCTACGGACCGTGTGAGCGGTGCGCCGAAAATTCGGTGTGGAACTGCTTGCGAACTTTCCCACTGTGGCCTGCGGGGGGCTTCCTGTGGGGCCACGAACCGTGCGAGGGGTGCGCCGAAATGGGGGGTGGAAGTGCATGCGAACTTTCCCACTGAACCCTTCGGTGGAGCTCCCTAGGGGGCCACGAACCGTGTGAGGGGTGTGCCGACATTGGGGGTGGAACTGCATGCGAACTTTCCCACTAAACCCTTCGGTGGAGCTCCCTAGGGGGCCACGATCCGTGTGAGGGGTGTGCCGACACGGGGGTGGAACTGCATGCGAACTTTCCCACTGGGGCCTTATGTATAACTCCCTACAAGGCCACGAAATGCGTGAGCGCTGCGCCGAAATGTGGGGTGGAACTGCACGCGCACTTTCCCACTGGAACTTTCGAGCTCCCTATGGGGCCACGATCCGCGTGAGGGGTGCGCCGAAAAGGGGGGTGGAACTGCAAACGAACTTTCCCACTGGGGCCTTCGGTGGAGTTTCCTGGCGGGGGTGGCACGAATCGTGTGAAGGGTACGCCGAGATGGGGGGTGGAACTGCATGCGAACTTTCCCACTGGGGCCTTCGTTGATGCTCCCTATATATGGGGCCTCGAACCGAATGAAGGGTGTGCCGAAATCGGGGGTGGAACTGCATGCGAACTTTCCCACTGGGACCTTCGGTGACCCTATGGGGCCACGAAGCGTTTGAGGGGTGCGCCGAAATGGGGGGTGGAACTGCATGCGAACTTTCCCGCTAGGGCCTTCCGTGGAGTTCCCTATGGGGTCACGAAAAGTGTGGGGGGTTCAAGGGGTGGGAGGAGCGGGAGGAGGGGGAGGAGAAAGGAACGCGGGGCGCTGTCTCTTCAAAAGGGGACCCAACTCCACAGGATGATTGGCAAAATTAGCCTGGCGAAGGACCCAACCATACGCAATTGTGGATACAGCAATTGTGAATACCATCTTCGCCCGCGCTCCCTATGTGGCCACGGCTTCCCGCCGGAGCCCGACATGCTCAGGGACACGTTTGTGGCCGTCTTCGCGGGCGCCGACGACCACGAGGACGGCGTCCCCCTAACCGAAAAGCAGAAGCAGGACAGGGTTCTGAGAGCCATGAGGGAGACTGCCATTGGCGCCTTCGGTGGAGCTCCTATGGGGCCACGATCCTCATGAGAGTGTGCCGAAATGGCCCGAGGCCGCCATGCGAACCCTGCCACTGGGGGCCTTCGGTGGAGCTCCCTATGGGGCCACGATGCTAGTGAGGGGTGTGCCGAAATGGCCCGAGGCCGCCATGCACACTCTGCCACTGGGGCCTTCGATGGAGCTCCGTATGGGGCCACGATCCTCGTGAGGGGTGTGCGGAGATGGCCTGGGGCCGCCACGCGAACGCTGCCACTGGCGCCTTCGGTGGAGCTCCCTTATGGGGCCACGATCCGCGTGAGGGGTGCGCCGAAATGGGGCGGGGCCACCATGCGATGGCCCGGTGCCGCCATGCGAACGCTGCCACTGGAGCCTTCGGTGGAGCTCCTTATGGGGCCACGATCCTCGTGAGGGGTGTGTCGAAATGGCCAACCGCCATGCGAACGCTGCCACTGGCGCCTTCGGTGGAGCTCCCTAAGGGGCCACGATCCTCGTGAGGGGTGCGCCGAAATGGGGCGGGGCCACCATGCGAACGCAGCCACTGGAGCCTTCGGTGGAGCTCCCTATGGGGCCACGATCCTCGTGAGGGGTGCGCCAAAATGGAGCGGGGCCCACATGCGAACGCAGCCACTGGGGCCTTCGGTGGAGCTCCCTATGGGGCCACGATCCTCGTGAGGGGTGCGCCGAAATGGGGCGGGGCCCACATGCGAACGCTGCCACTGGAGCCTTCGATGGAGCTCCCTATGGGGCCACGATCCTCGTGAGGGGTGCGCCAAAATGGGGCGGGGCCACCATGCGAACGCAGCCACTGGAGCCTTCGGTGGAGCTCCCTATGGGGCCACGATCCTCGTGAGGGGTGCGCCGAAATGGGGCGGGGCCCACATGCGAACGCAGCCACTGGGGCCTTCGGTGCAGCTCCCTATGGGGCCACGATGCTCGTCAGGGGTGCGCCGAAATGGGGCGGGGCCCACATGCGAACGCTGCCACTGGAGCCTTCGATGGAGCTCCCTATGGGGCCACGATCCTCGTGAGGGGTGCGCCAAAATGGGGCGGGGCCACCATGCGAACGCAGCCACTGGAGCCTTCGGTGGAGCTCCCTATGGGGCCACGAAACGCTGTACTGGGTGGGTGAAACGCAGAGAGGAGGGGGGAGGAGGGGGAGGAGGAGGAGAGGAACGCGGGGCGACGTCTCTTCAAAACGAGGACACAACACCACAGGATGGTTGGGAAATAATCCCAGACTATGTTTTACTATTATTGAATACTCCTCCTGTAAACGGACATGCCCGACTTAAACTAGTGGGCCATAACGGGGCTTCGGGGCCGTCAAACAACTGGTCCCGGGGAAGGGGTCCAAACTTCTGGGGGTCGACGTTCCGAAATTAGCCTGTCGAAACACCCAACTATATGCAGTTGTGGGCACCGTCGTTGTATGCACCGCATTCGGTGGAGCTCCCTATGGGGCCACCAATTGTGTGAAGGGATGTGCCAAAATGGGTGAGGTGGGCGCATGCGAACGCTGGCATGTGGGCCTTCGGTGTGGCTCCCGATGGGGCAACGAAACGTGTGAGGGGCGTGCCAAAATGGGTGCGGTGGGCGCATGTGAAAGCTGGCATTTGGGCCTTTGGTGGGGCCCCCTGTGTGGCCCCGAAGCGTGTGAAGGGTGCGCCAAAATGGGTGCGGTGGGCGCATGCGAACGCTGGCATTTGGGCCTCCGGTGGGACTCCCTATTGGGCCACGAAACGTGTGAGGGGCGTGCCAAAATGGGTGCGGCTGGCGCATGCGAACGCTGGCATGTGGGCCTTCGGTGGGGCTCCCTATGGGGCAACGAAACGTGTGAGGGGCGTGCCAAAATGGGTGCGGTGGGCGCGTGTGAACGCTGGCATTTGGGCCTTCGGTGGGGCCCCCCGTGGGGTCACGAAGCGTGTGAAGGGTGCGCCAAAATGGGTGCGGTGGGCGCATGCGAACGCTGGCATGTGGGCCTCCAGTGGGAATCCCTATGGGGCCACGAAACGTGTGAGAAGTGCGCCAAAATGGTTGACTGGTTCGGAGGGCATAGGCAGGGTTCGGAGGAGAAAGGGGGGAGGAGGAGGAGGAGGAGGAGGAGGAGGAAGGAAGGAGAACGCGGGGCACTGTCTCTGCAAAACGAGGACCCAGCACCACAGGATGGTTGGGAAAAATCACGACGTCGGGGGTCTGGGTCCGGCGGAGGTAGATGCAAGACTCGGGTTGAGGGAGGCTCGGGTTGGCCTGTCGGCGGGGCCGTCAAGAGAGTGACGAGACCCAGTCTGGAATGTGACGCGACCTCCCACTGCAAGCATCCTGAGACCTGAGACAACGGGGCCGTCAAAGTCCAGGACGGCCCTACCCAAAAGGCGTCGGCTGCCCGAGCTCCAGCCAACTCGAGCCTCGCGTTTCCCCGACTCCTGCCGCAGCGCCTGCCCCTCCGCGGTCAACAGGCGCTCCTGCCCGGCCGGGGCGGCGCCCTCGCCGGCGGCCGCCAGCTGGCGCGAGGTCTCCTCCACCAGCGCCTCGATGCACTCGCAGAGCGCCCCTGCGGCGGCCGCGGCCCCGCCCGTGTACTCCAGGTCGCCCCGCCCGGCCGCGACGGCGTGCGCCAGCATGGCGTTCCAGGCCGCCTCGTCCGGCACCGGCGGCAGCGGCGCCCCGCACGGGCCGGGGCGCAGGAGCCGCTCGCGCCAGCCGCGCGCGGTCTCCCGCAGGCGCAGCAGCTGCTGCTGCAGCGGGGCCATGCAGTCCTGGAGGGCCGTCAGCCTTTTCTGCGCGGCGCGCTGCTCCCGCGCCTCCGCCTCCCACGCGGCCCGCAGGGCGCCGCTCACCGTCGGGAGCTGCCTGCCCGCCTCCTCCGAGGGCCCGGCCGCGAGGCCCCCCTCCGCCGGCCGGAGGAGCGCCAGCTCCCGGCCGCCGTCGGCGCCGCCGTGGTCGGCGGGTGCCTGCCGCAGCCTCTGCCGCAGCCCGTGCCCGCGGGCCCGAGCCTCCGACAGCTCCAGCCGCAGGCCCTGCTGCGCGGCCGCCTCCGAGCGCAGCCAGAGGATGGCCTGCGAGGAGTCCACGAGCTCGCGGGCGACGCGGAGCGCCTTCTGCTCCGTCTCCTCCGCGCCGCGGCGGCTGGCGCCGAGCCGCGCCGCGAGCGCGGCCCTCGCCCCGCGGAGCTCGGAGGCCTGGGCCCTCGCCTCGGCGAGCTCCGCGTCGAGCGCGGCGAGGCGCGCCTCGCACGCCCTGCCCCGCTGCGCCTGCAGGGCCTGCTCGCAGCGCGCCTGGCGCTCGAGGGACAGCTCCGAGGCGCGCGACTGCTCCGCGGCGAGGCCGCTGGCCTTGATCTGCTGGCCCTCCAGCTCCACGATGGCAGCCTCGGCTTTGGACCATCTGAGCTCGGCGCCTTCGGCCTGCGCACGGGCTGCCTCGAGGGAGTCGTCGAGGGCCGCGAGCTCCTCCTGGCTCCGCCGCTTCTCGGCGTCCGCCTCCAGCTCCGCCCCCTCCTTCGAGTGCATCGCCTGCCTCTCGCCACGCTCGGAGCCGCCGATCCTGTCCAACAACGCCCGGCGCTCCTCCTGGAGCTCCCCCGCGCGTGCGAGGTCTGCGTCCAGCACGCCCGTGAACGCAGCTCTCTCGGCGCGCAGCTCGGCCACCTGCGCGGCTCCTTCGCGAGATCGCAGGGTCAGCGCCCTGGCCTCCTCCACGAGCGATGCCAGCTCCGCGGAAGCGACGGGCACGCAGCCGACCTCTCCTCGCAGCTCCTGGATCTCGGCCGCCCTCGCCTCCGCGAGGTGGCCCAGCTCGCGCACCTGCAGCAGCAGACTGCGCTCGTCGTCGGCGCGCGCGCCGCCTGCCCTGGCGGCCCGCACCGGGCGGCGGGGGCTCCCCGGCAGGGACCTGCTCTGCAGCGGCGTGCGGGGCCGCCCCGCCGACGCCGCCGAGGCCACGGAGGCCGGGAGGTAGTCGCTCAGCCCGCCGTCCACGTCCTCCGCGTGCGCCAGGCCAGCGTCCTCGAACCCGCCGAGCCCGGGGGCTCGCGCGGCATCATGCGCGCCGGCGCCCCGCCGCGCGGCCGAGGCCGCTCGCGCGAGGTACTCGCCGAGGTTCCTCTCGGCCTCCAGCAGGTCGCTGTCCTCGCCGCCGCCGGCGCTGGAGCCGTCGTGGTGCCGCCCGCGGGCGGGGCCGCCCGGCGACCACAGCGCGGTGCGCAGCCTGCTCATCCGGAGCTGCAGCCCCTCCATCTCCGCGGCGCAGGTCTCCACGGCGCCCAGGAGACGGCACGTCCGCGGGGACGGCGTGCGCGGGCGGCCCGCCGGCAGGCCGCCGTCCGCGCGGGGGGCCGCCTCGCGCTGGCCGCCAGAGGCGCCCCTCGGCGGGGGGTCCTTTCCGAACCGGCTGTCGAGGCCAGCACGGGCGATCATGCTGCCCCCGCTGCGGCCGATCACCGTCGCCTCGGGAGGGGCGCCGCCCGGCGAGGAAGCCAGGCACGACGGCGGGCCGGCCATGACGAGCCCGCGCGGCTCGATCACCATCGCCCCGCTGCGATGGATCTCGTCGAGGAGGCCGTCCGCATCCTCGGGCGCTCCTGCGCGCTCGCAGCCCGCCGCCCCGTGCGAGGCTCGCGGCCGGCCCAGCACGTCTCCCGAGCGCGAGCCGGCTGCGCGGGCTCGGCCAACATGGCTGCGGGCACACTGGCGAGGATCGAGGGTTCTTGCTGTCCTGCTCGCCCTGCAGTTGGGGCTAGCCGCCCTGTCCTGTCTTGCCGAAGATGCACCCAACTTGCTCGCGGAGGCGTCTTTCCGAGGGTACGTGTTTTTGGTGTTTCTTTTTTGTTGTTTTCCTTCTCTCTCTCTCTCGAGCGACGCCCTCAACAACAAAGCTTGTGAGAGTGGACGGTCGGGGGGGCTGGTTCGGGGGGGGACCATTCGAGCTCGAATCGGCGATGCATCACCGCTCGATAGGCAACAGACCCCGACTGCAAATCCGGACATTGATGGGCGGGAGTCGCCATCCCACTACCGGTGATACACGGACGATTCCTGGAACTCGGAATCCCTAACCGTTGGCATCTCTTGGGGGCGCATCTTCTGATTCCGCCGCCTTCCGTCGAACTTCCGCTGGCGGAGTCGCCCCCGCGTTCTTTGCGCCACCCTCCTTCTTGTTCAGCGCTCCTCCCAAGAACCAGAAAATCTGTCTTGCGGGGGCCACAGGTCTACCGTGCGAAACGCGCGGCGCGACAATAAAATGTGTTGGTGCCCTGAGTGGGCGTGGGTGTGGGTGTGTCTATGGGCGCGGGCGAGGGCGAGGGCGAGGGCGAGGGCGTGCGCGTGTGCGTGCGCGTGTGCGTGTGCGTGTGCGTGTGCGTGTGCGTGTGCGTGTGCGTGTGCGTGTGCGTGTGCGTGTGCGTGTGCGTGTGCGTGTGCGTGTGCGTGTGCGTGTGCGTGTGCGTGTGCGTGTGCGTGTGCGTGTGCGTGTGCGTGTGCGTGTGCGTGCGTGCGCGTGCGCGTGCGCGTGCGCGTGCGCGTGCGCGTGCGCGTGCGCGTGCGCGTGCGTAGGAGTGTGAGTGTGAGTGTGAGTGTGAGTGTGAGTGTGTGTGTGTGTGCGTGTGTGTGTGTATGTGTGCGTGTGCGTGTGCGTGTGTGTGTGTGTGTGGGTTTGGGCGTGGCCATGGGTGTGGGCGTGGGCGTGGGCGTGGGCACGGGCGTGGGCGTGGGTGCGGCTGCGACGATGGTGAGACAACTGTGCCTGGACCCCGCCGCCGCGCACCCCCACCTCTGCGGGGGTGGCTCTGTGCGCATGGGGCGGCGCCCCCCCCTCTGGTGAGGAAGGGCGCTCCGCCACCTTCCGCCGCCTCCCGCCGAGGAAGAGATGGGAACTCCGTGGATCCTCAAAAGGCGAGGTCCTGTCCCCAAACCCCCGACGTCGCGAATTTTTCGTGAAGTGACGGCCAGAAATCTGAACCCCTTCCCGGGGGAACCGGCATTTCATCCCGAACCGTTTATTGACTGGCTTCGGGAGGCCGGTACTAGCGGAAAACCTCTCGTGGTGATTTCTTCACGGTGCGGGGGTCTGGGTCTTGAACGCCTCACATGGGCGACTTGGGGGATCGAGGCGTCCCCTCCAGAGCACAGTAGTCCTCCCCGGACGTTGCCCCATGCAGGAACGCCTGCTTTTTCTTGGGACTCTGGCAAGTTTACTTGCATGGGCGGAGGGGGGCTGAACATGCCCAAAGCAAACCGCAAACGACTTTGCACGTGCAGAAAATACGCAGGGTGAAGGGCACTTGCACGATCGTGCTCGTCTGAAGAGGGGAGGCGGGGGGGGGGGGGGAACGCCATGCAGGTAGACTTGCCCGACTCTGAAAAAAACAGGCTTCAATTCAAATAGCTGGTTGACGTTCCCCAGGGCTCGGGCCGAACACGTGGGGAAACCAAAAGGTACCGATGCCGCTAATCCCCAGACCTCTCCCGGGGTGCGTTCTGAACAGAATCTCACCAGCCCTCTGGGCGTAGGTGGTTTAGGGAGTTTCCTCTTCCAACCTCTTTCTTCCCCTTCGGGGGGGGTGCACCTCCCCCCCCCCCCCTGGACCTGGACGGGGGGTTTCGCGACGCGTTGGAGCGTCCAAAACGGCCTCGGCGAGGAAGCCAAAATCATTGGTTTTACCAAGGTTCTGGCCCCATTTTGGCGTTTTGAGGGGGGACCCTAATTAGGGCCCAAAGATGGCCCCCAAGGCTCCCAAGGGTGCCCCAAGAGGGCCCCAAGAGGTGGCCAGGAAACCCCAAGAGGCCCTCAGGATGCCCCCAAAAGGCCCCCATGAGATCCCCAAGAGGCCCCAAGAGACCCCCAGAGGCACCCAAGATGCTCCAAGAGGCCTCGGCGAGAATGCCGAATCATTGGTTTAATTAGGGTTTTGACCACATGTTGGCCTCTTGGGAGGGGGACTGATTAAGATGACTCCAAGAGCGCCTGGGGGAGCCCACGATAACCTCCAATAGGGCTCAAAATATCCCAAGATGTCTCATAATGGCTCCCACGATGCTCCAATATGCCCAAGACCGCTCCAAGACGGTTCCAAGAGACCACAGAACTCCCCCAGGAGGCCCCGAAGACGCCAAAAACCTTGGACCATCTATGTGTTTGGCTTTCTTGCCTTCTCGCTCCCGGTGGCCATCCGAGGCCTCAAGATGGTTCCAAGATGGCCCAAGAGGGCTCCATGAGAGGCTCAAGAGAGCCCCAAGACGGCCCCGAGAACGCCTAAGAGCGCTCCAAGAACGCCCCAAGAGCACCACAAGAGGCGATTGGCTGGGCCCCCGAAGGGCGGCGCTAACTAATGCTCGCTTCGTGTTTGATCGATGTCTTCCAAGATGGCCCCGCGAGCGCCCCCAATGCTCCCAAAAACGCTTCAAGAGGGCCCCAAGAGGCGCCCAGGAGGCTCCAACAGGGGCCCAAGAGGCCTCCAAGATGCTCCCAAAGAGGCCCCCCCAAACAACCCAAGAAGCTCTCCGAAGCACCTAAGACGCTCTAAGAGGCCTCCACTGGGGGGCCCTTCCTCTGTGCTGCCCACTTCCCTGATCGAGGCAATTCCTCTGGGCATCGTTTCTGGATGGGCTGGTGGGGTTACTTTTTTGGCTCGCGGCTCCAAGGCGAGGGACTTGAAGCGGGTCAACGTCCGGGGCGCTGTGAGAAGATAACTGGCCGCAATGGCGAATGCACGCGCCAGGGACAAAATTACCCTCATTGAGACGCAGACGGCGTCGGCAGGTGACCGGCTCCGACATCCCGGCAGGTGGGGACGCAGAGGCGCGGCGACCGGCGGCGGAACGGGGGGGAGAAGTCGCCCTCTCGGCGCCAAGCTCCAGCCGAACCACAAACGGAAGCGAGGCCAGGACGGACGGCGCAGGCCTAGATCTCAGAAAAGAAAAGGGGGAGAGTGCGAGCGCGAGCGACTAACCCAGACTCACTGCAGCACCCCGGTGAACGATGGTGCAGCGAAAGAGGTCTGACTCATCAAGGCTCCCTGGAACTAAGGTGTGGCTGAACCGCGTCAGAGCGCCATTCAGTAGAGAAGGGCTGGTGGGGTTACGCTAAGCGTCTAGAATTTCGAGGCGAAGCCAACGGTGGCGACGAGGGCCTCCAAGGAGGCCTCACAAAGGGGAACAAAAGGCCGACAAAAGAGGGGGGTGAACGCAAAGCACGCAAACTTGCCTGAATGGTTGTTTCATGGAAATGGGAGGAGGAGGAGGAGAAGGAGGAGGAGGAGGGGGAGGAGGAGGAGAACATAGAGCATAGAACAACTCATGGAGCCCTGACTGTGCAATCTGCCTTACTGCATCACATCGTGAAAACTTGCTCTGCAACTCAGCTCGCACTAGGGCTCTGAGGCGGGTCTCTACGGATCCCACTTCCACTTTCTAAGGCGAGACCTTCGCTCACCCCAGCAGAGGCACTGGCCACGTCTGACACTCCAGCGGGCACGCATCCCGCGATCGGAGGTCAGCCCACAGGCTCAGGGAACTCCTCCCCTCCCCCCCCGCCCCCGCTCCGACCGACCGCCCCACCCCCTCCCTCTAGCCTGCGGCTTACTACGAGCAAGCACAACTGTCGGAATAGGCGGCAGCCCAGGGTCACGGTACGATGATGTACTCCGAACAGCACAATCCAAGACATCTGGAGAAACCGCACCCCGCAGAATCAGCTGCTGCAGCCGCGCACTGGTACTCAAGCTTCGCCTGCCTTGCTCATCCAGGCCATAAGCTCTCTCTCGATGGGCCCCCTCGGAACCGACCCCATCAGGAATTCGCCGCCCTCTGCCTCGATCACCCTCTCGAGAATCCTCGCGACCTCCACTCCCAGAGGCTTGTGGAAATCCGTCCTCATTATGATGATGCAACGCTTTTCCTTCTTCCACCAATCCTTCGCCTCTTGGAGAAGCTGCTCCTCCTCGCGCTGCGTAGACCCCGCTGTAGGTGTTCTCGATGCGCAAGATTTCATCGCCGCATTCTTGTTTCACGATCTTCGACCCCCGAAGCCGCCCGTGTGAGGCATTCCAGACCCAGACCCCTCGCGCCTCGCGCTGCGAAATTTTCACGACGGGAGGCTTTTCGCTAGTGTCGGCCTCCCGGAGCCCTTGCCGTGCCTCGGGACCGACAAAAACGATTCCAGATGATAAACCAGTCCCCAGGGGAGGGGTCCGGGCTTCGGGGGGCCACGTCCCGAAAAAAACACGACGTCGGGGGTCTGGGGACTCGGGTCGGCCTGACGGGGCCATCATGAAAATGACGAGGCCCAATCTGAAACTTGACACGACCTCCCGCTGCAGGCATCCCGCCCAAGCTGGACCGTCAAAACCCAGGATGTGCTCGTCGTAAAGCGTCGGCAAACCCAAGTTCCGGCCTACTCGAGCTTTATATTTCCCCGATCTTTAGGCAACTTCTGGGAGGTCTTCGTCGGAACGGCTCAGGGCCTACGAAGCCCCCAACTGCGGGACCATAAAGGCGAATCTCACCAGCCTTTTCGGGCGTGAGTGGTTTAGGGCGTTTCCCCTTCCATCTTCCCTCTTTCCCCTTCGGGGAAGGGTTTACCCCCCCTCGTCGTACCCCCTCCTCCTGGGTCTGAAAGGGGAGGTGGCGCGAGGTGTCAGAAGATTTTTTGGGCCTCGGCGAGAAA